AGGAACATGTAAATGCTATCAAAAAAAAAAAAAAACATAGTTTGGAAGAACATGTAGCTGAGCTAAGCATGTTCTTTTTTCGATTTCAGATGTTAATGTCGACGCTCTCGCCACCTAGTGGTGAGGCACGAGTATGACAATGTTTTTGTTAGAACGTTAATGGAAATAAATATAAATTTTAAAACATCTGGAGCAGGATAGGCAGGGTTTTATAATGATTCTCTCTGTATTTTGTTGTTTTTGTGGACGTTCGCACCACCTCGCATGGTGAGGGTATGTTGGCGTTTTTTGTCGACAGATTTTTTTTTTTTTAACTAAGAAAAAACATTGCTTAAAAATAAATCCAGAGTTGTGTAGATGGGGCGTCATTATGCTGCTGGGAATGGACAGGGCCGTGACGAGGAATGTAAAAACGTGTGAGACGGGCCGAACCCAGCTCATCTGCTGAGCAGAACATCTGACTGAAAACAGACCGACAGCTCTGAAGTGAACGGGTCGGAGCGAACAGCAGGAGAAAACAGAGAATACCACACATCAGTTTCACTAGATCTAATATAAAAAGTTACAGCAACGTTACAGGAAAAAAAATATAATTTAAATGCTACTGTTGGAAGTTTTTGTGTCTCATTTAAAAAGTTGTTAGGAAAAATAAAATACGAATGAATGGGGAAAAAAAAGTCAAAATGAATCAAACTAATAAACAAATGTTGATCAGAAAGAAGAAACTAAAGTAAGTTTTGCTTCTTAAAAGTTCACTTTACATTATTTATTTATGCAAATAACGCCCCTGATTTTCTGTCATTTTAGTTGCTAATTGATGGATAGTTAAAAATGAATAATTTAGTTAATTTAGATTTATTTATGAGCCCAGAAATCTAAAAAAAAAAAAAAAAAAACCTCAACATCCATTTACAGAATGCACATTTTTATTACAGCTAAACCAGTGAACTTTGCTGGTTTTAATTTTTTTCTCGCTTCCCCCCCCCACTCAAATATCAACTTAATAAAAATAAATAGCATCGAGGGAACAGAGCACAAACTAGCATCGCTCTGTTGGACCGGGCTGTAAACATGCCCTCAGGTTGTCTGCAAGTATTTTTCCAGCCTCTCGCCGGCCAAGCATAGCCGCCTCCAAAGATCACCCGCCGGAGATGCAGTTGAACTCATCGCACCACTATTTGACTGTTTAACATGACTGCCAAGTTCTTTAATATACCTGAGTTCATGTTGGGTTTTCAAAATAAGAGCTTCATAATGTATGTATGTATGTAAGTGCATGCTTTAAAATATGTCTGTATATTTAAGATTTGTTCCTGAATGAAAAGTACCAGAGAAAACTTAGTCCGTATCTGTTGGCTCAGGTCGGTAGTGCCAGACAGATGATGCGTTCTTGGAGGATGAGCGAGACCAGATCTGGTCTTGAGGGGTCCGTTAAAACCCCTCGGGGGATTTCTGTTACGAGCATCCATTTATCAAAGCGCTTGTAATGGACCAATGTTTAATTAGTCGTGTAATGTGGCAAAGACGAGGGCGAGTGTGTGTCATGGGAATGTTAAACAACCTTCCCCTCTTTCCCCGACGATGCTGAACCTCCACCTGCCTCCACCAGCTCCGAAATTCCCCGCCGGGGATACATTCTTTGCTATGATTTCAACCATCAACTTTCCAGAACCCTTTACAAACCTCTTCCTCGCTTTTAATCCCCTTCACACCGTTGTCCCTTCTTTATGGACATGGGCACCAAATGAAACCAGAGAGCTAATTAATCACAAGTCCTGCTTCTTATCGGTGCCTTCAGGTTCCCGAGGGGCATGTCCCGACATGCCAGGAATGGCTAGCTGAAGCATTCTGGACTCCAGGAATGCGGCTCAGCAGGACCGGGGTCGCGGTCGGACCACTCATCGCGGCGCTCGCTGCGTTTCCTGTGGCAACATCTGAAAACAGCCGCCCATTTTGAGCTTTTCTGTCGCTTTTGGAGGTCAGCAGTGACCGAGGGAGCTCTGAAGGATCGCCAGGACCCGCGGCTCTCGGAGCTGTGTGGTCCCCGAGGAAGGCTTCATGTTTCGACCGGTGGCTAATTGAGTGGAATGACGAGGCCGGAGAGGCTCGAACACCTCGTCCTCTCCTACGAGTTTGGTTTATGCTGCCCTGCTGACTTTGCTGTCAGTGTCAAACGCTTGTTAGGACGTCGTCAATCTTGCAGCAGTTAAGAATATTCTCCGAACAGAAGGAAAGGGGCAGGTGATAAATGGAGGCGAAGAAGCCGAGGGAAAGTTGGAAATGAAGTTTCATACTGATGAAACATTTACAGGCTTTTTATGGACACTTGTGGTAAAAACAAAAGTCCATTTCTTTTTTTCATTTCTAATCTCATACGTATCGGGAAATAATAAAACGGGTACTAAAGTTATTTAAGTCTCAAGTGAACAAAAGTGCTCAACAGATTCCCTCTTGTCGTGGTTTATTAGACAAAAAGCTAAAATAAAAAAGCAGTGTGAAAAGACTAAGTCCATCACATGATTCAAGAGCTTGTAAAAACACTTTTAGCAGCAATAACCCTCGGTAGTGGTTTTCTGTGCGACTTTATGAGTCACTCACAAGCTGTGGAGGAATTTTGGCCCACTCTTCTGTACAACATTGTTTCAGCTCATTGAGGTTTGCGGGCATTTGTTCCTGCGTTGCTCTCTAAGCGTAATACAGCGTAATTGAGAGGGTTTTTAATTTTCATGATTAAGTTGTAGAGGCTTGTCATGTGGATGCTTTAGTTTGATTTGAACATGTTCAAATAATGCGTGGGACAAATTTTCTCTCAAAATAGTTGTTGGGCTGTCTCGAGCATCTCAAACCTGTCTGAAGTGCATTGGAGCGGGAAGTCTCCTGGCCGAAAAGACAGATTTGAAGCAAACATCCATGTTTAAAAACAAGTGTAGACCAGTATCAATGTTTATGCTCAATAATCCAGGTAAAAAATACAAAAAAATCCAACAAAGTTAAGTCAGGTGGATGGTTTCTTTTTGTGTTGAAACGTTTCGTCTTTCATCCCTAAGAATTCTTCAGTCCGAGGAGCCACAAAGTGGGCCAACCAGTTTGATGGTGATAAGATGGTTTCTTACCTGGGTTATTGCGCATGAGCTTTAATGTTTTGAACCACTTTGGCTCTGGCTGCCTCAGAGGAGTCAACAGGGGAGAGGGCAGACTCCAGAAACCATCTTATTAGCATCAAACTGGTTGGCCTACTATGTGAATGTGCTACCTATTGGACTGAGTTTGTTGTGGCTCCTTTGACTGATGAAGTCCTTTGGATGAAAGACATTTTATTCGTGCTTCAGCAAAAATAAACTGTCCAGAGGACATTGACTCTACTTTGTTCAGTGTAGACTAGAATATTTAGTCGAAACCTTTGGAGGTGGTTAGGTAACAAATTCATGTATTTTAGATGGTGCACCCAAAACTCAGTGATGAATTTAAAGAACTTTGTCCCTTAAAATGATTCACTAGTTAATTAAGAACACTTAGAATTACTGCAGCAATAAAAGGTTTCAATTTTGAGTCGCTGACTAGTCTCCATCGTTAGCAGCCTGTTGAAATCCTAAGTCAAAGCCAGAGTTTCTTTATTTGTCATTTGCACCACATGCGGTACATGTGGTGGAACGAAATTGTGTACACAGTGTCCCAGTTATATCCAACAAAAGTATAAATTGTAAAGGAAGACAATAATAAAATATAAGCTATTAACTAAGAAATACGCTAAACTAAGAACACCTACCTAAAGCTCCAACACAGTGTTTAAGTCGGATGGAGATCTGGGCTTTGAATGGACCATAGCAACACCTTGATTCTTTTTTCCACCCATTCCGTTGAAGATTCATTGCTGTGTTTGGAATCATTGTCTGGTTTTATAACTTGGTTTGGTCCAAGCTTCAGCTGTCGAACAGATGTCCTCACATTTCACTTTAAAATCATTTGGTCTACAGAGGAGTTCATGGTCGACTCAATGACTGCAGGGTCCAGGTCCTTTGGCTGCCAAACAAGCTCTAACCATGACCCCTCCACCACTGTGCTTACCTGGTATGGGATGTTTGTGGGGAAAAAAATTCCCAAAACCGAAGCAAAATTCCAATGCACATTAAAAAACACCCGAAAGAATTAGTTGTTGGTGATTACATTGGTTTTGAATGACAGCTAAATATAATAAATCACACATTTCAGAAAAAGGAGGTGCATTGTTCCATTTGTCTACACGGCAAAGTGACTTCGTCTCCGTTCAATCTCGACAGAAGAAATAATTTACAGTTCTCACCGGTGGTAAGACATAGAAAGGGATTTGTTCACACTCTGGAGAGACACAAGTCTGTGTTTGTCTTCACTACGGAAGCAGAAAAGCAGGGCTCGAGTCAAACACACATTTCAACCCATAAATCATTTCCAACCATCCCAAAAACTAATCTCCGACTCCTCTTCCTCCCTCCTGTCTTTCCTTTCTCGTGTCCTGTATTCTGCACCAGGAGAAGACCCGCTGCTCGGGGCCCCTGCACCAAGCAAGGGTGAAACGATTGGAAAAGAGCAATAAATGTGATGGATGTGGGCCAGCGCAGGGTTTAGCACCAGCTGTCAGACATGTTTTTTGTCATTTCAGACGGACCTTATGGGTGTGTGCCCCTCTTCACCCCAGGCTCTTCCACTATTTTAGAGTTTGAGGGGCATTTTGAGATGGATACGTTCCCAAAGGTTGCTGAGATTACGGGTTCAGATCAGCGGCGGACACTACACAGAAAATTGAGATTACATTTTTATGGGGTGAGCTCTTTACTGGCATAAAACGGAAAGCCGATGAAGCGATGCAATCTGGTGAAATCATATGTTTTCAATAAAGGCACAGGTGGTCTATCTTGGATCTCCTTCAAATGAGCGTCTTATAAATCAATCAGTTTATTCTTTTCTTTTTTTATGCTCGCATTTTTTTCTCAAAAGAAATTCTGTTCTTTTCTTTCAGGCTCGATGACATGATGTTCCTACCCTTTTCCCTCCCCCCCTTCACCTCTATCATTCCTGTTTTCCTCCTCCACCTCCTCCTCCTCCCTCCGTCACTCATCTCGTCCTCGTTCTCCCACCCCCCACTGAGTTGGACTTCACCTCATGAACCCTGCTACCACCCAGATGGCCGTCCTCGACATTGCCTGTCGGAGTTTATCAACGCTGCCTATGGAGTCCCTGTCAATGCCAGCCACTCGCGACACGAGCATGATTCTGAGGGCAACATCACCACCTTGACAGACCTAAACAACCCTCACAATCTCACCTGCTGGAGGGCTCATGCAGGGGCCGAAAAGGGGGACTGGGTCCTTACCCTGCCGTTGGGACGCCGCTTTGAGATCACCTACATAAGTTTGCAGTTCTGCAGTCAAGCAGAGCCGATGGATCCTATTTCCATCTCTATTCTTAAATCGATGGATTATGGCAGAACCTGGAGGCCAATGCAGCACTACTCCAGTGACTGCCTTGGGAACTTCGAGCAGCCCCCCCGGACCATCGCCCAAACAAGACACCAAGAGACGGAGCCCCTCTGCTCAGATCCTAGACCTCTGCAGAGGCAACGGGGCGCCATGGTGCTCGCCTTCTCTGCTCTGGACGGACGGCCATCTTCTCCAGACTTTGATTACAGCCCGACCCTCCAGGATTGGGTAACAGCCACGGACATTCGAGTGATCTTCCATCACGTGTCCAATGACGTGGGAAGCTTGGATAAGATGAAGGACGCCCATTGGTTTGATGGTCCCCATGACACCAGAGGAACTGAGTTGCTGAAGTGGAGATCAGAGATAAAAGGCCACGCCAGAGATCGAGTGGACAAATTAAATAGAGATAACACACTGGCATTTTTTGACAGGGAAATAAAATTGGAACGGGTGGACAAGCACCGTCGAAAGAACCACCGAAAAGGGTCCAGTCAAGACGAAGATGGGCACAATGTGACCAGTAAGGAAGAGGAGGGTGGTTTCGGCATGGACTCAGTTGCTTTGTCAAAAAAAGACGGGAAGAGCAGAGTGCGTGGTCGTAGTAAGGAAGACAATTATTGGGCCCCTTGCCCAAATGAAGACTGTAGGTGGACGGTTGAAGGGCGGAGTAGGAGCAACAAAGGGCAGGAACTGAGGAAGAGGAGGAACAACAACGCCAACGTACGACAAAATGTTAGGAATCTTCAGGCGCTGCCGCCCTCGGCTTTTGTTTTTCCCGTCCGTGCTCCTGTAGCCATCTCCGACCTGCAAGTCGGAGGCAGGTGTAAATGCAACGGACACGCCTCCAGGTGTCGCCGTGATGACACGGGTCGTGCAGTGTGCGTGTGCGAGCATCACACAGCGGGGCCGGACTGTGACGTTTGTGAGGATTTCTACTTAGACAGACCCTGGCATCGAGCCACACCCACTCACCCAAACCCATGTGTCGGTGAGTCCAATAATTACTTTTAAGTTCATAAATTACAAATGTTGTGGTCTTTATTTATTATATTCCTTAAAAAAAACTGATTTCCTGGAAGTTTCTACTTCCTCTTACATTATTCTTCCAGTTATATAATTTTGTTGTCATGTTAAACATCTTCTTGCTTCACAGCCAGACATTTTTATTTTATTTTTTAGCAGTAACAAGATTAATGCACGGTTTCCATACCTGCTCTGTTCTCAAAGTTGGGCGTTGCTAAGATTTTGAGAGTTTTTAGGATAAAATCACATAGAATCAGACGTCTAATTTCAGGGCTGCAGAGCTAATGCTAAAACAAAGCTACTGAATGGGATTTTTGTATTTATCTAACAAAGCTAAGGTCAGTGAAAAGAAACATGTTTTTTTTTATATCAACACTAACTGTGACTGATGAATACTTTTAAGGGATATTCAGATTATTATGAAACTAGCATTCCTGGATGGGAGCCATGTTGATGTCATTGATTTAATGAACAAAGATACCATGTGATGTTTTTGAGTTTGGAGTATGAGTTGGAGATGACTCTCAGCTACTACCACACCTGGTTTTAGCTCAACATCTGTAGAAGTGACTGGGTTGTGACTACTTTTGTGTTTTCTTAGGTCAGTTGGCTCTGGTGGCCACACTGTGTCGAGTTAGCTCTAAAAATTGATCAGCTGTACATCCATTGATTACTGTTGTACAGTTTCATTAAAATCCATCTGGTTCATGAAATACTTTGCTAACAGATGAACAAATACAGAGGCACTAACATGATCGCTTGAACAATTTGACTTCTAATATTTTTTGTCGTCCCAGAAATCGATGTTTAAACCAGACTAACACAAAGTCCATGTGAGATAAGAGCTAACCGTTGCTCCTCTGCTGGTTTTGATTCTCTTCTTCTCATTTTCCCAGCCTGCGAGTGTAACGGCCACTCAAACAAATGCCGTTTCAGCATGGAGGTGTTTCAGCAGTCGGGTCGGCATAGTGGAGGCGTGTGTCTGAAGTGTCGTCATCATACGGCCGGACGCCACTGCCAGTACTGCCAGAACGGACACACCCGCGACCACAGCAAGCCGCTCAACCACCGCAAGGCCTGCCAACGTCAGTCTACACACCTGTGTGTTTGCTCTGTGTGTGATGGGGTGACAGGAGGAAACACAAATGTTCAGTGGAGGCTTAGACTAACTGAACATTAAAAAAAAAAAAAATCGTAATCCAGTGTTTATATCAAATTGTAAGACTGCTTGCATTTACATGACACGGGCAGTCATGTAAACACTGTATGATGACGACAACGCTACGAACACATTGACATTTAGTACAAAGTTAGATTTTAGATACAACAGTCCCGGGAGGTCTGTCAGCGAGAGCGGAACCAGCAGCAGCGCATGTGTGGTTTGTTTGCAGTGTGTCTGCTCTGAGCAGATATATAGATAGATACGTAGATAGATACGTAGATGGATACGTAGATAGATACGTAGATAGATACGTAGATAGGTAGGTAGGTAGGTAGGTAGGTAGGTAGGTAGGTAGGTAGGTAGGTAGGTAGGTAGGTAGGTAGGTAGGTAGGTTGGTAGATAGATAGGTTGGTAGATACGTAGGTTGGTAGATAAATAGATACGTAGGTTGGTAGATAGGTAGGTAGGAAGGTAGGGAGATAGGTTGGTAGATACGTAGGTTTGTAGATAGATAGATACGTAGA